CCCGCATCGGAGCAATGATGGATGTGCTGGGGTCGTTTGGGGGTCCTGTCGGCCTCTTCGAGGGCCTTTGTGGCGTGTCCGAGCTCATTTGGGGGGCCGCCTGGAGCCCTCTGGAGCGACTTTGGGCGCCGTTTGGGCCGTTTTGGCGCCCTCATGGGGTATTTTTGGGCCCTCTTCTGCGCCTCTTGTGCCGCCCCCAGGCGTCGGGCAGCGGAGCAGGCGACCACACGAAAATCTCTGAAAAGCCAAAGGGGAAGAATCAATCATGTTCGCCACTGGGGATTGGGTCAGGGATCAGCTGGAAACACTCTTGGGGCGTCTTGGAGGCCACGTCAGCCGTCTCGAAGCAATGGTCGGCGCGCTGGGAGCGCTGTGGTGCTTTCTGGCCCCCTTGAAACCCTTGTTGGTGGCCCTTGGGCCCCCTTGAAGGCCCTTTTGGCGGGCGGAGACCCGCTAGGCCCCTCATCCTGCGCAGAAGCACTGGTGTGGGCAGCTGGGTCTACCCTTTGTATATATATATATATATATATATATATATATATACGCACACACATACATACAAAAACAGGAACGCATCAATACGTGTATATGTAGTATGAATGAAATTGAAAATATGGTGTGGAATGATGGAACGTGTCATGATGTCAAAGGATATAATGCAATATAGTATCAGCTCATGTAGCACAAAAGATACCATATACTAATAAGCACGGCAATATAATTTACGATTACAGAATAACTACAAACGACATACCATATATACACATACATGTATAGGCTAATGTGGTGTAGAACTACTCGAATTAAAAACAGCAAATACGTCACTAAACTGTGATATGACAATTTAGAATAGCATAAAATGTAAGTTACATATGATGTGTTGTGGTATGATGAAACGAAATACGTTATGATGAATTACGAGAACAAAAAAATATATGTATTATATAATATGGTAAAGAAAGTATGACAATATGGCTTATGATACGATATGACACCATACAATACAAGATCATATAGTACATCATGAGAACATGTCGTAGAATATAACCATATAATAAAACATCAAAACATATCCTGGCGAAAGACACAACCAGATGCACTGTGGGGTACCGCAAGTGTGAATACCTTCTTCGGCGAAGCTCCCTATAGGGCCACGAAACGATGCACTGGGTTGAGGGGAACGCATGCGGGCGGTAGCACTGGGGCCGTCGGTAGGGCTCCCTATGTGGCCACGAAACGTTGTACTGGGTGGGTGGAAATGCCACATTGAGCTTCTGGAACGCACGCGGACGGTCCCACTGGGAGCTTCGGTGGAGATTCCTATGGGGCCACGAAACGCTGTACTGGTGGGTGGAAAATGTCAAATTGCGCGTGCGGGGCGCATGCGGCCACGAAACGCTGTACTGGGTGGTTGCAAATGCCAAATTAGGCTTCGGAAACGCATGCGGACGGTCCCACTGGGGGCTTCAGTGGAATTCCGAATGAAACCATGAAGCGCCATCCTGGGCGAGCGAAAATGCCAAATTGGGTTTCCCGGACGCACGCGGGCGGTCCCAGCTTCGGTGGAGATTCCGATGGGGCCACGAAACGCTGTACTGGGTGGGTGAAACTGCCAAATTGAATGTGTGTGGGACGCACACAGGCGGTAGCACTGGGGCCGTCGGAGGAACTCCCGATTGGGGCCACGAAACGCTGTACTGGGTGGGTGAACATGTTAAATTTCGTGCGCGGGACGCATGCGGACGGTCCCACTGGGGGCTTCGGTGGAGCTCCCTGTGGGGCCACGAAACTAAGTTCTGGGCGAATGAAAGTGCCAAACTAGGTGTGCGGGACGCATGCGGACCGTCCCACTGGGGGGGTTCGGTGGAGTTCCCTATGGGGCCACGAAACGCTGCGCTGCGTGCGTGAAAAAGCCAAAGTGGGCGCCCGGAGCGCACGCGGACAGTCCCAATGGGGGCCTCGGTGGAGCTCCTAATGGGGCCACGAAACGCTATACTGGATGGGTGGAAATGCCAAATTGGGTGCGCGGGACGCATGCGGACGGTCCCACCGGGGGTTTCGGTGGAGATTCCTATGGGGCCACGGCACGCTGTACTGGGTGGGTGAAACTGCCGAACTGGACGTGTGGGACGCACGTGGGCGGTCCCACTGACGGCTTCGGTAGAGCTCACTATCGGGCCACGAAACGCTGTACTCAGTGTGGCGGACGCATGCGGCCACCCCCACGGGGCCCTTAGGTGGAGCTAGCCCCTATGGGGCCACGAAACGCTGTACTGAGTGTGGCGGACGCATGTGGCCACCCCCACTGGGGCCTTCGGTGGAGCTCCCTATGGGGCCACGAAACGCTGTATTGGGTGTGGCGGACGCATGTGGTCACCCCCATCGGGCCCTTAGGTGGAGCTCCCTCTGGGGCCACGAAACGCTGTATTGGGTGTGGCGGACGCATGTGGTACCCCCCATTGGGGCCGTCGGTGGAGCTCCCTATGGGGCCGCGAAACGCTGTACTCGGTGTGGCGGACGCATGTGGTACCCCCCACTGAGGCCTTCGGTGGAGCTCCCTATGGGGCCACGGAACGCTGCACTGGGTGGGGGGGACGCATGTGGTACCCCCCATTGGAGCCTTCGGTGGAGCTCCCTCTGGGGCCACGAAACGCTGTACTGGGTGTGGCGGACGCACGTGATACCCCCAACTGGGGGCTTCGGCGGAGCTCCCTCTGGTGCCACGAAGCGCTGTACTGGGCGGTTCAAACGCATGGAGGAGGGAGGAGGGGGAGGCGGAGGGAGGAGGATAAGGAGAAGACGCGGGGACCGTCTCTTCATAACGAGGACCCAACACCACAGGATGGGTGGGAATGAAAAACCTTTAGTATATATACATATATATATATATATACATACATAAATATATATACACACGGATAAAAAGATAACCCAATCTGGAATACAGAAAATATGATACATGTGACGTACTATACTATAACACAGCGCGCTACCATATAATGCAGTACGCTATGATACCATAGCCACATAGCATAGCACCCCACATGTAAATAGTCTAGGATATGACACACTACGTGTCACAGATAACCGAGCCAACTGCAATAAATTTCACACCAACTGAACAGCATAAACCACGACATGGAAACACTATAATATGATATAAACCGTTGTTGTGTAAAATAAAACGATTCACTGCAACGTACGATCACAAACATACAATATCACGTATACGTGCATTACCAACTAAATATATTACAGCATGGTCTTCTATGGCATGGCATAATATGACATGATACCCTGTACTCCATCACAAACCAACGCAATACAAACTAATGGAATGCAGTATACTATGCTACTATAATGTGTTGTATCGTATAAGGAAAGAGAGAATGGACTATTACCGCATATACGATTCCCATATGTATAAATACCTATATACATATATATATATATATAAATATATATATATACATATATATATGTATGTGTGTGTACACACAGCTCATGCTATGTTATAAAGCATTACACTGGTAGATAACATATCATACTAGCAACTGGTAGCATATAGTACAAAACAACAAAACAAGTTAGATCATGCGTACTCCAGATTTCGTAATAAAAGGGAGGGGGTCTGGACCCTCCAAGACAAGCCATTTCAGACCTCCCCCGTGGGAGAACCCTCCAAAACATCGTCCCCAGACCCCCCAGGCCCTCCAAGATAGCCTGGAAGAGACCCCCCCCCGAAATGAGACCCCCCTCCCTTTATTACGAAATCTGGAGTATAGATGCACGTGTGCACGCTAACGGACGACCGCGCTGGGCGGCTCCTGAAATTCCGCCGCGGAGACCGCGGGCCGCCTCGGCGAGGGCGGCTCCTGCTCCGCGGGAGCGGGAGGGTGGCGGCAGGTCCGGCGGGCGCCCAGGCCGTGGCGCCAGGAAGGGGCGGGGGGGAGGGAGGGGGGAGGGTGCGAGGGGGGGGGGGGAGGGTAAGGAGGAAGGGAGAGAAGGGGGGGGGGAGCTCCTCCCCCTCCTCCCTCCTCCCTCCTCCTGAGGGAGGGAGGGAAGGAGGGAGGGAGGGAGGGAGGGAGGAGGGAGGAGGGAGGAGGGGAGAGGGGGGGATGAGGGAGGGATAGGCCCTGCCGCAGGTCCCCGCCGACGCAACTCCTCCCCCCCTCTGGCGGCCGCCGCTTGGTGACTGGGCACTCTGGCCAGGCACGGGGTAGCGGCTGATCCCAGGGGGCTGGTGCCGTGCACTGGGGGTTGCGCTGGCAGGCACCGATTTACAGAGCTTCGGGACCGCGGTCCGCCGGGGGTGGAGGGGCAGGAGAAGGGAGGAGGGAGGAGGAAGGAGGGAGGAGGAAGGAGGGAGGAGTGGGAAAAGGGGGAAAAAAAGAAGATCTCTGACCATGCTTTCCAGTCTACGAGTGGGCGGGCCGCCATTAGACATCCCTTTGAGGTAGTTGCATGATGTGACTAAGAGGGAGCACCCTTTGGTTGCGGAGACTCCCACCTCATAGACTGTACCCGGGGAGTGCTTTCGAGGGTATGCCCTGTCTATCAGCCCCATTGATTGCGAAACTCAGGAGTGACGACCCTGATTACTCAAGGGGTTGACGGAGGGAAGGTCTTTCCCCTGACAAGAGCGTCGAGAACCACAAGTTGGCTCGGGATTCGTGCCGAAAGCACGGTTTCGCGCGGGCGCCACGGCCTGACAAGAGGCGGGAAGGAAGGAGGAGGAGGAGGAGGAGGAGGAGGAGGAGGAGGGGGAGGAGGCGGGAGGAAGCGCAGAAGGGGGAGGAGGGGGAGGAGGAGGAGGAGGAGGAGGAGGAGGAGGAGGAGGAGGAGCAGCAGTAGCAGGAGGAGGAGGAGGAGGAGAAGGAGGAGGACGAGGAGGAGGAGGAGGAGGAGGAGGAGGGGGAGGAGGGGGGAGGAAGCGCAGGAAGGGGGAGGGAAAGGGGGGAAGGGGGTCTGACGGCGAAGCGCAGGACAAAAAGAGATCCACTGCCCCTCGCCATGGCTAACGGGCGAATCCGATATATACAAAAAGAATCGGGCATGCGAATGCAAGACGCGGTATTCGGGATCCACCAATGTGGGGGGGGACCCCAGAGGGGGGGGGATGAGTTCGATCCGCTGGTGCACCGAACTTCCGAAGAAAGATGCCCCCCGTGCGCCCCGATTGTCGACACCTCTCGGGTTCTGGCGGCGGCCGGGGGAATCGTTTTGCATCGTTTCTGGGCGGATCGATGCGCCAACGGACCGAGCTCACCCCCCCCTGTGGCACCCCCCCCTTTTGCGAGGTCCCGAGGTGTTGCGGCTGGGACGGCCCCACCTTAGAACAGTCGGCTTGGGAGGCCCTGGACGCCGCCGCGGGCCTGGGCCATTCCATCGGCTACGCGGTATTGAAATGACAACGACGACCACGACGACGACGACGCCGACGACCACGACGACCACGACGCCGACGACGACGACGAGAACGACGACGACGACGACGAGAACGATGACGACGACGAAGATGACGGCGAGAAGGATGAGGAGGAGAACGAGCAGCGGCAACAGAAGCGCTGCGTCTACGCCGCCGAGGGCTCGTCGTCCGCGGGCAAGTCCTCCTCCGCCTGCTGCTGCTGCTGCTGCGACTCCTTCTTCTTGCTCTCGATGATCCGCTGGGCCTCCTCGACCTGGTGCTTGAAGGCCTCGCGGCGGGCGTCCGCCTTCTCCATGTCGTCGGCCTTCTGCTTCGCCTGGTCGGCCTCCCACTTGTCCTCGCGGGCCTTCACCTTCGCGGCCTCGTCCGGGGGCAGGTAGCGGACGTGCTTCCTGCGGGTCGCCTTGCTCTGCTTCCTCTGCTCCATCCTCTTCCTGCGCCGCTCCTCCGCCACCTCGGTCGCGTTGTAGTTGTTCTCCCTCTCCAGGTCCGCCACGCGCCGCGCCCAGGTGTCCTTCCACTCGGACGCCCTCTTCTGCCACGCCTCCTGACGCTGCCTCTCGGACACCGCGCCCTCGCCCGCTGCCGCCCGGCGCTCCCTGGAGGCCTCGGCGCGGAAGCGGTCCACCCACGCGGACTCGGAGGCCTTGCGCACCTGTCGGCGGGCCCTCTCCGCCACCCCGGGCGGCACCTGAGAGCTCAGGACCCTGTCGCTCTCCGGCTCCTCGCTCAGGCGCGTGCCGCACGAGAGGAACCCGAAGTTGGAGTAGCCGGAGGCGTCCAGCGCGCCCGCGAGCGCCCTGCCCTGAGAGATGCCCTGGGACTCCTCCATCGCCTGCCACGCGCGCAGGAGCATGTCGGCGACCTCTGGGGCGTCCGAGAGGTAGAGGACGCTGCCGTCGACATCGCCCAGGCTCCCCGCCTCAACGCTGCATGCGCCCGCCGAGTCGCCGCTCTTGCCGAAGAGGATGCGCTCGTCGGACGCGGCGAGCTGGGAGGTCAGCGAGCTCGCGAACGTGGCGCGAGGCGACGCGTACACGATCTTATCGCTCAGGCCCGCAACGGCCACAGTCGTGAGGATGGCGTGCTTGAAGACCCTGAGACGAACGTCCTGGGAAGGCATCATGACGAGGCACTTATGGCCGGCCACGCCGAAGGAGTTGGCCAGGGCCTTGCAGACCCCCGCGGAGGTGCCAACGACGACGCTCTTGGCATCTTCCCCAGCAGCCTGCAGGCTGGTGAGCATCTTCACTGCCATCTCCACCTCGCCCTGGTCGACCACCGTGAGGACGATCGCGTTGCTTTCGTTGCGGTTCGTGATGTCCGAGACGATCTGGTGCAGCTTGTTCACCTGCTGCGGCCAGAGCAAGTCGAAGAAGTTGGGATTCAGAGTCTCGCAGCTGAACGCGCTGAAGAGACTGGTCACTGGCGCCTCGCCCGCGTTCTCGGCGAAGCAATGCTCCATCCGCTGCTGCTCGCTGTTCACGTTGAAGGTGGACTCCCGAAAGCAGGGCAACCCACTCATCGTGTACAGCGCCTGCGCAGCGTACATTGGCTCGGGCACGACGTTGAGCCCAGCCTGCGAGGCCATGCGGAACAAGACCTCCTCGGCGGTACGAGTGCCGTGCAGATACTCCTCGCCCTGCTGCCAGGCGGAGAAAGCACCCAGCATTACGTTGGCAGCCTCACGGCCCATGATCACGGCATTGTCGTTGATGCCCGTCTCGTCGAGGCACGGCATGGTAGAGACTTGAAAGGGGTCCGCCTGGAAATCTTCGACTTTCACCGCGCGCGGTGCCATCCAGTAGCCGTTGGCCCGGGTGACCATGACGGCGTCGTACTCGTCGTCTCCCTCGACGTCGCGCACGCGGCCCAACATGCTAGACTGCGAACGCCACCTCGAGATCGTCTCCAGGCCCTCTGGGCTGGTGAACGGGATCTGCGTCATGATATTACGGTAGGTCGTGTTCTTGGGCTTGCGCACCGCGTTGTCGTTCTCGAGCTCCCAGATGCAGCGGGTCGCACCCTGCCTCTTGGCGAGCTCGCAGACGAAGTCCATGACCGTGGCGTTGTAGCCCACCTCGTCGAAATTCAGCAAGAGGTTGGCGACCTTGGGATCAGTGGTCACGGCGGGCTTGGAGCCTCTCACGGGCGCAACCAGACTGAAGAAGAGGTCGACTTGAACGCCCCTCCTGGCATTGGTATGGACTACGTTGGACAGCAGCGGCGTGAGGATCAGATTCTCGAGTGAGCCGGAGACCAGCACGGCCATCTTGCTCTGGGCCTCGGCCTTCTGCTCGGCATACGGCTTCTCCCTCGCGCCCTTGGAGGCACGGAGCCACTTGGGCCACTCGGAATTCTCCGCAGCGGCGGCGCGGCCGCCCAAGAGCCCCTGCGGCTCAGCCTCGGCGGACGGGTCCGAGCGCGCGTGCAGTCCGAACACGGCCAGCGGGACGGTGAGCGCGGCCGCTACGAACTTCATGAGAGCCATGGTGGCGCAGTTCGCTGAGCACTAATACTGTACGCGGAAAAGTAGGTTCGGGCCTTGCTTCGCTGCGCAAGCCGAGCGGCTTGATCCAAAATGGCTGCGGAGGGGGGGGGAGGGGGGGGGCGAGGGGGAGGGGAGGAGGAGGGTAAGGAGGGGGAGGGGGGAGGATTAGCGAGCGCGCTATAGGCTGAAAGGGTACCTAGCTTAACCACTATCTAGGGATGAGGCGGTCATCGGCGAAGCACGTACATGAGACTGGGGCAATTGCGGGAAATCCGTGCTGCCAGAAGCCAGCGGCTGCCCGACGAAGGGCCCCGAACGCGCGCACGCATCCCCACCCCCCTCATCAAGATTGCGGGGGGACGCTCGAGGGCGCACTGGCGCCGCGCCGCCTGCACGCCGCCCCCTCACCCCCAGCCCCTGCCTCGCCTGCGCCCGAGGGAACACGTCCTTCCTCGCCTCTGCTGCCCCTCCGGCCCCCGCTCGAAGGGGGGCAGGTCGCATGCGTCGCATCCGCGGGGGGGGGCTCGCTGCGCGACGGGCTGGCGGGGGCCTCGCCCAGCGACTGGGGCGGCGCCTCGCTGCACGACTGGGGATCATGCGCGTCGGCGGGAGCCTCGCTCAGCGCGCGCAACACGTGGCGTGCTGACACAGAGCTCAACACGCAGATTGAAAGCGCAGGCGCAGATTGAACACGCAGTTTGCCAAGACGTGTGCCAGCTCCGCGTCGGGGGTGGCGCCTCGCGGCGGGACTGGGCACTGCGCGCGCGGGCGGGGGGCACCGCGCGAGGGCGACGCAGCTGCTTCGCATCGCCGGGCGCTCTGCTCCGTGAGGGGGTCTGGCTGCGCGACTGGGGCGGCGCCTCGCCGCGCGCCTGGGCACTACGCGCGCTGGCGGGGGTCTCGCAGAAGGAGGCGGCGTCGCTCCGAGATGGAGGGCGTTGGGGGGCGGAGTCAGCCGCGAAATGCAACAGATGAGAACCTGAAAGAATCCTCGGGACCCCGGGAAATATTCAGAAGCCCCGGGAAATCCTCAGAAGTCCACAACAAATCCTGCGGACTCTTCGAGATTTTCCAGGGTTCCGCTGGGACTCTTCCAAATTCTGGAGGATGTTCCTAGAATTGCCCAGGAAGTCCGCCGGGTTCCTGAGAATCCCCCGAGGAAAGATTCGGAAGTCATGCGATTCCTGACCACGCGCTGCGGACTCCCGAAATAAATCCTTAGACTTTCGGACGAACATGGACGCCCCAGGAAATCCGTAGTAAGATCCAAAAGAGCCCTGAGGCTTCTGGAGGAGATTCAGAAAATCTTATCTTTGTCACGAAGTGTTTCAGGCGTTAGGAAATGCTCTGGATGTTGCGGATCATGTCGTGAAACCACCAGGATTGCTGAGGATCCTTCGAAATCCGTGAAATTCCTGGAGATTCTTGGGGAAGGCCACAGAGGCAATAACCCCAGCTGCAAATTGGGGGCCATGCCCGCGAGGTGGGGTTGCCGGGAGGAGGGGGGATTGCTATGCAGCTTCAGTTGGGAGGCGCCAGGAGCCTTCCGCCTCTGGCTGCTGCGGGCCGAGGCCCACCAGGGCCGCTCGGAGAGAAAGGGGGTATTCGAATATGTGCCGCGCACAGGTCGAAGCCCGCCGGCGGGCGAGCTGAGCCTCGCCCGCTCTGTCATTCGTCTGGTGCTCCGACGACGGCTCCAGCCAACGGTCACTCGCGCATGGTCCAGCGCGGCACTCGCTCCAGGTGCGGGGGGGGGGGCCTCGGAGGCCTCTAAGGACACCTGGGGATTGCTGGGGACCTCTGGAAGACCCAGGACATCTTCTGGGGGTCCTCGTCGCGAACAAATCACGACGTCGGGGGTCTGGGGAGGGCGAGGAGGAGGAGGAGGAGGAGAAGGAGGAGGAGGAGGAAGTGGAGGTGGAGGTGGAGATGGAGGAGGAAAGAGAATCTGAGGGGGGGCGTCTGTGAACCAGGTTCGAGCGGACTGCGCGCGCGAGGACAGGGGGGGGGAGCAGGAGGAGGAGGAGGAGGAGGAGGAGGAGGAGGAGGAGGAGGAGGAGGAGGAGGAGGAGGAGGAGGAGGAGGAGGGTGAGGAGGAGGAGGAGGAGGAGGAGGAGGAGGAGGAGGAGGAGGAGGAGGAGCAGCAGCGCAGCGCCTCACGCGTGTCTCCCGAGCGGCCGCGGGCGCGACCGACGAGCGACAGCGCGGCGCCCTCGCGCTGCGATGTCGGAGAGGGCCAGGTTGAAGAAAGCGTGGAAGAAGACCCACTCGCAGAGGAAGAGGGCCAGGGGCGCGTCGACATAAGCCAACTTGCCGCCGACGAAGCAAGCGTCGCCGCCGAAGAAGACGCCGCGCCACCAGCCGACAACGGAACGGCAGCGAATCACGACATGGTCGATCATCGCGCCGCGTGACTGCGAGAGAGGCCACCCTGCGGGAGCTGCGCCGCTGGGGCACGTCGGGCACGAGGCGCCAGTCCCTTCTCGACGCGCCTGACCGCATCTTGCTGGTTGCGGCGCGTGGACCCGTTGGGCGAGAGCCCTTCGCACCTCAAGCCAAGCTTCCGCTCTGCGCGGACATCGCCCGCAGCACAGTGGGGCCCGCAGCGTCTGCAACAGTAGACATCGTTGCCCCTGAACACTGAACACGTCGCGCCCAAGCGCGGCGAAAACGCCCCCTACCCCCTCGGCCAGGGCAGGTGGCACCAGGGCCGCGGGAGTCGAGGGCTGCGAGCTCCCTTCGAGCGCCGATGCCGCGCCCAGGGCCATGCCAGCCCTTTGGTCGCTGCAGAGGGCCCAACCCTCGCCGAAGGCGCGGAAGTACTCGGCGTTGAGAGTATGGCAACACGCGAAGGCCGAGATACTTGATGAGAGCCAGTTTGCAGCGAATCGAGGGAGGAGCCCGTTGTGGCCGTGACTCCGCATTGGGTACATCGGTACCGCCCGAGGCTGGCACAGTAAGCAAGGACATGGTCCGTGCTTCGTGCCACCAGAATGGGCCTGGCCTGCTCGCAACGTGGCCTGGGGACCTCCACGTTGCATCCCCATTTTTGCGAGCCACCACCTGCAGTGCCGCCCACGAGATGAACTGCAGGACCTTGCGGTGCTGTTTCAGCGCAGCAGCTACCGCCTCGGCCACCGACCCAGCCAGCGCGTGAGAGGCCGCACCGCAGCGCACGAAGTAGTCTGCCCAGCCCTTGCCTAGCCAGTCACACAACTCCTGCGACTCTGTGCCCACAAGCTCCTCCAAAGACCTGTGCGCATGCGTCCATCGGAACTTGGGAGGGCCCCGCAGGGTGCGTCTGCGGCTGGCCACGAAGATGCCCCGCCACGCTCTAGCATGCTTGGCACGACCCTGCTCGAGCTCGGGGCGCCAACGCTCTCCTTCCTGGGCGAGCGCCAGCAGGTCAGACCCGTCGGCGTAAGAAACGGGGCCCCGAACGCCATGGGCGTCGCCCCAAAGCCAGACACCATGCCTCCGCGTGTCTGCGCGCGGCAGATAGGCGGGATGCTGGGTATGCCAAGGACGAGGTAGGACTGCTCGAAATTCGGCGTGCCTGATCCAAGACCCGCGTGGATAAGTTGGACGCGCACCTCAGCCAGCACTTGGGGGAGGTGGAAGATACCACGGCATGATGCACCAGGCGCCGAGGCTGGAGTCGCCGCCGCAGGGGACAACAGGTCACTCCGTTCCGATGCAACCGGTGGCGTACAGAGGACACTCTCTAGCGGCACCACCTCCTGATGGCCGTCGTACCCATCGGGTGGCCCAACGTCGACCTCTTCGTCAACCCCGTGCCCGACGCCAGGAAAGAAATTGTCCTCGGCCCCCATGGTGCTGCGGTGCTGGGCGCAGGTGTAAGACGGTGGGGTCGGGTCGGCCCGACTCTGGAGGTGGTCGCGAGCTTGCTGGCGCAGGTCGCCTAGACCCTGCTGTATTTCAGGGGCCCTTGGACATGGTCCAGGGCCTTGGACATGGTCTGTCGGCTCCTGCTCCATGGGTCACATTCCCCCTTCGGGGGGGCGGGTCAGCAGCACGGGACATTCCAAGAAGACATGGCCCCAGCATTCATCGGGCGCAAGGGCCTTCCCGCAAGCCTGACAGGGGCGCATGGGCCTGCCGAGCTTCATGTCCCCGCGGATCGGCATGGGCACGGTCGAACCATAGCGCCTGCAACGCTCCCAGCTGCCTTGCGGCACGGACACCCTTGACCACATACCTGAGCCCACGGTGCCAGATAGGCGCGCCAGCGTGGGAGTACATGAGCACATGTGGCTGGTGAGGCGGTCATGCTGCCAGCGCTGCACGCCCTGCACCAAGAAAGGTCGCAGGTCAGCAGGGCACACGCGGTGCAAGTCATACTGGTTGCCATTGTCGCCCTGCAAAATGCGCGGCGCTTTCATGTCCCAGGCTAGCCGCCTGAGCGTCAGCCACGTCGCGGCCAGGGGACCTTTGGCATTGGCCCAACTAATTGGGACAGCCCGCTCACGGAGCGCTGTCCAAGCCCTTCGAAGGCGGCTAGGCGACGTGCGCGCGCCCATCCCAAGTGAAGGCGGCATAGTTCAAGACCAGGTCCAGCGTGGCGTGATACATGGGATCGTACTCCTCCGAAGGGTGAGTAAGGAGGTATACCGTGACGTCCACATGGTGTTTGTCACTGCGCCCGTTGAGTACCGCGGCCAAATTGCGCATCTCGCGCAGCGGCGCGTCCGCCAAACCCGGCACTCCAGCCCCGTGCCCTGCGGACGGCATGAGCCCAGTCCGCCACAGGGTAGAGGCCTTGCGCCCTACCGCGCGACGCAGCATGAAGAGTCGGTGCTTGCGCTCCCGCACGGCCATCAGGCGCTTCCTTTCAACCGTAGCACCCGAGGGCCATGCAGTTCATGGCCAAGGTTGCGCATATGTCGGGCTTGGGGCACCGCCCGAGGCATCCGCCGCTGGACTCTACGCACCACAAGGCGGACCTGCGCTAGCCCAGCCACCACCGCGGACTAAGCAGGTTGGAGAATAAGCCCGAGGTCCCTGGCCTCTGCAGTGAGCACCATCGCAGTGCGCAGCAGCAGCTTCACATCACCAATGTCGGGGGAGACCATCTGCAGGCCGATATCGTCTACCAGCGAACGTGGCTTGATGGTCGGCGCCACCCTGTTGGCCCGCTGGAGGACACGGTACGTCAGCAAATAGATGAGGTAGGCGACATGTGTGCACCCCGCCAGCAGCCCCCTGAAAGGCGACGACAGAGCACGAAAGGCTACCGTACGCCTTGATGCGCCGTGGCTGCTGGTAGAGCTGCAGCAACATCCATAGCAGGCGTATCAGGTAACCCAGCTCCCACGCCTCCCGCATGAGCGCATGGGGGCTCACCATGTCAAAACATTTCACCATGTCAAGGAGGATGGTGCATGTGTGGTCGCCTATGAGGCTTCCCACCTCCTGCTCCAGGTTGTGAGCGAAAGCCGAGGCCGTGGATGCGCGGCTGCCTCGAGAACCCACATCTCGTCGCAGTTGTGCAGCCGTTGCCACTCAGCCGACAGCCACCGGCGTGCTTTCGCCCAGACTCGCATGAGAGCATGGCCAAGCACACTCAACCTGTGGCCACCATCTGGTTTAGGGAGACGGACCATCTCACTATACATGCGGTCATAGGGAAACCGTAAGTGCTGCTATAAAACCTCGAACATATTGGCCAACCTCCTGAGAGCCTCATCTGGCAAGTGCCCAAGCGCCTTCGGTGGAACGCGGGTGGGCCCCGAGGCGGTGGCGAGAGAGAACGATCCGATGGCCTGCCGTAGATCATGGGCCGTCAGGCTAGGCAGCCCCTCCCAAGTAGGTGCATCCGTGGGCAGAGGCAGCTCTTCCAGCCCATGGGTCGCCCAGATCCGCTTCCACTCGCACATGGTGCGGCCCGCGAGGATGCATGGCTGGGCATCGGACTCAGGGGCAACGAGTTCTTGCTGCGCCCTGACCTTTGATGCAGCGCGGGCAGCCTTCGCTCCCCCATTGAAGGCCGCCTGAGCCCAGCTGCGCCAGGCTCTCTCCGACCCCGAGCTGGGTCATGAACAGGCACCAGAGCAGCATAAAGGTCCATCCTCGCGGGCGCGCCACACGCGGTGAGGACGAGTGGACTGACGTGCAGGTCGACGGCGAAGGGCTGGAGCAGTAGTGGCCTCTGGCGGCGCCGACCCTGGAACAATATACCCGTGCCAGGGTCTGTTGTTTCAGGGTCGGCCCCCCTGCCCCTCCAAAGCTGTCGGACGGGTCTGTGCATCACGGTTCCGACGTCGTCTCCTCTCTGCCATGACCTCTTACGGCATCAAATATCGTGGGAGACGTACTGTGCTCTTCGCCAAGTGGAGGCGGATCCATGAAGCCAGGACCCACCCTGGCAGCAGCGCGCAGGTACTTCCTGCCAGGAAAACCCCAGCCGACAGCCTGCACATGGCACGCGCTGTCAGTGCGCGGGAGGCCACAGCTGTCATTCCGCCCATGGGACGCCCTGTCAGCGTGATGGCCGCACAGCCCGTCATAACAGGCTGGCGCATTGCACTCACAACTACTGGCCTGTGCATGGCACGTGCCATCAGTGTGGTCGCGCTGGCAAGCGCTGCCCTCAGAAAGGGGCTGATCGAGCCTTCTTCTTCCTCTTGTGCGCCGTAGCCGCGCGCGTAAAGGAATCAAGGACACGCTTGTACGCCACCCGCATGTCCGCGTCGGTGGCATCGTCAGGCTGCATGAGTCCTGCCGCCTCCAACGCCTCCCGCGGCTCGGCGGACTCCATGAGGTCGATGTCGATCTCCATGTCGTCTTTGGCGGCTTCCCCAGCGAGGACCTGCAACTGGCGCGCGGGGGGAAAGGGGGTGGAAGGAGCTCCTCCTCCTCCTCCTTCATCTCCAGCAGGGGTCGCGGGAACAGGGGCAGCAGCGGGCACCTGTGCCGCCGGCGGCTTCGCCTGGGGAAGCTCATGGAGCCTCCCGAAGACTTTGGCCGCCGACTCCAGCTGTGCCTGAAGGCTGGGGTCCAAGCCGAGCTCCACGGCCAACCCGCCAAGCTGCTGGACGTCGACCGAGACCTTCGGCAGCAGCTCATGGAGCGTAGGCTTTCCAGCCATAGGGGGAGGGGCTCGGTCGGCGCCCAAACGCTGGACCTCCTCCTCCAGCCGCACGGTTTCGGCGTCTGCCTCGGCCAGGGAGTCCTGGAGCACCGTCTGCTTGGCAACCAGCTCGTCGATGACCAGCTGCTTCTGAACGTGTTCCTAGCGAAGCCGCTTGGCCTTGGCACGGGAGTTCCGCAGCCTCGTGGTGAGGGAGGCGACCTGATCCTCCAAGGGGCGCTCGGCGTCGAGCTCCTTGCCCAAACGCTCCTTCGCTTCGGCGAGGGACTTGAGCTGCACCAAGCCAGAGGCCACGGAGGATCCATCGTAGACCTTAAGGAGCTCATTGATCTTCTTGATGCGTCACGTTTGACCTGCTTCTCTGACGGGTCAGCGGTGCCTCCGCTGTTACCAGTGGGAGCCTCATGGGGGTGCCCACTGTCCAATCCGACGCCCGCTCCAGCGGCAGAAGCACTCCCCCAGCAGCAGCAGCAGCCCAAGGAGGAGGCGACTTGGCGACCGTAAGCTTCTTGACCATGGCCTGGGGGTCGGCAAGCTGCTTGGCCATGGAGGCGGCGTCGGACTGATCCTTAGATGCCTTAGGTGAGCCCGTAGACTTGGTCGCAGGACTCCGGTTGGGGCGTTTTGGGACCACCGTAGCAGACTCCTTTTATATAGGTTGCATTTGGAACACTCCTTGAGGTCGCCACGGAGGGGGAAGAAAGAGGAGAGCGAGGAAGGGAGTGATCGAGGTTCGAGGACCGAGGTTGGAGTTCCAAGGTTGGTGTGCCTTCGGGGTCCGTTTCTGGGCCTCCAGGAAGCTTCTCGTCGACACGGCTGGATTGCTGCCGAAGTTCCAACCACTCCGCACCCCTGAAGAGGTCAAGGAAACACCCCTGGAGATGGGGAGGGAGACGGGGGAGCCCTGAGCCAAGACCCAGAAGGGCTTCGCCCAGCCCTCGACACAGGGGGGATCTATGCCTCCCACACCTGGATGATTGAAGATCGAAGATCGACGATTTTAGGAGGAGAACGGCATGGGAGAAGAGGAAGGTAAGGAAAGGGGATGTGAAGGGAGAGACAAAACGAGGATGAGGGATGGAAGGAGGAAGAGCAATAGGAGGAGTGTGAGAGGCGGGGAAGAAAGAGGAGAAGGAGGAGGAGGAGAATGAGGAGAAGGAGGAGGAGGACGGCGACGACGACAGGGGAGAAAGAACGGGGAGATGGGGCGCAAAAACAAAACGCCCGAAAACCTCGATCATCGAACCTCGACCCCCAGATCCGATGCTTTGGTCGTTCGATGCGCAGTCCCTGGTGTTCTCGACCCCTTGCCCCCCCTCCCACATGGATCGTTTGCTGACGGCCCCAGATCCCAAAGACTACACAGTAGACAGCTGCGTGGTAAGAACTCCTGTTATAAGACATCGTGGGGGGGGAACCATTCCTGGGCCGATCTTTGAGGGCCCTGAGGTGCCCCAGAGCTTCTGTGGGTCCCTGGGGGCCCTCGGGAAAGAAGACAAATCCTTGGGGCACCCGCCGGCAGGCCGATTTCTCATCTCGTGTGCCTACTGCCCCCTCGGAGGAGGTGAGGCAACAACCATACGCAGTTGTTCGTACGGCAAGTGTGAATATCTTCTTCTCTGGCGCTCCCTATGCGGCAACGAAGCGTGTGAGGAGTGTGCCGAAATGGGTGCGGGGGACGCATGTGGACGGTGGCAATGGGGCCTTCGGTGGAGCTGCCTAGGGGGCCACGGAACGTGTGAGGGGTGTGCCGAAATGGGTTCGGGGGACGCATGTGGACGGTGGCAATGGGGCCTTCGGTGGAGCTCCCTATGGGGGCACGAAACACGTGCGGGGTGTACCGAAATGGGTGTGGGAGGCGCATGTGGACGGTGGCCCTGGGGCCTTCGGCGGAGCTCCCTATGGGGCCACGAAAAAGGGTGAAGGGTGTGCCGAAATGGGTGCGGGGGACGCACTTGGACGGTGGCACTGGGGCTTTCGGTGGAGCTCCTCATAGGGCAACAGAGTGTGTGAGGGGTGTGCCGAAATGGGTGCGGGGGACGCAAGTGGACGGTGGCACTGGGGCCTTCGGTGGAGCTCCTCATGGGGCAACAAATTGTGTGAGGGGTGTGCCGAAATGGGTGTGGGGGGCGCATGTGGACGGTGGCACTGGAGCCTTAGGTGGAGCTCCATATGGGGCCACGAATCGTGTGAGGGGTGTGCCGAAATGGGTGTGTGGGTGAGGAATGTGGACGGTACCTCTGGGGCCACAAAATTTGTGAGGGGTGTGCCGAAATGGGTGCGGGGGACGCATGTGGATGGTGGCACTGGAGCCTTCGGTGGAGCTCCCTATGGGACCACGAAGCGTGAGGGGTGTGCCGAAATGGGTGTCGGAGCGCATGTGGACGGTGGCAATGGGGCCTTCGGTGGAGCTCCTCATGGGGCAACAAAGTGTGTGAGGGGTGGGCCGAAATGGGTGCGGGGGACGCATGTGGACGGTAGCACCGGGGCCTTCGGTGGAGCTCCCTATGGGGCCACGAAAGGTTGTACTGGGTGGGCGAAACTCAAGGAGGAGGGAGGAGGGGGAGGAGGGGGAGGGAGGAGAGAGGAAGGAGGAGGAACGCGGGGACCGTCTCTTCAAAACGATGACCCAACACCACAGGATGGTTGGGAACAACGCCTAGATCCGTTCTAAGACGCTGGAGGTGTGGGGACCTCCATCCCCTTGAAAATCAGGCGTCAAGATGGTGGGTGGGTGGGATCGAGTGTTTGTGGCAAGCCCCACGGTGCACTGCATCTCTCCGCTCCACCTCTGGTCCCATCGTCGACGATGCTCGCTCGATGTAGCACCGTGGGCATTTTAGCTGGAAGAGCTTCCAGGGGGCAAAAAATGTTACCTGTTGTTTTCTCGCTTGAGTAGGCCGATCCAGAACATACGTGGGGGTCCCGAAACGGTGCGGTGACGGGGGGGGCGGTGACCTCGACATCCCCAAAGGCCCCACTGCACGGCCCGTCGCCGCAGTCCTGGAACCTTGAAGGCCCAGGTCGCCCGAGACCTCCCCGGAGCAAGGCACGAGTCCCGAAACCGTGCGGCCACCCCGAAACCCCACCGTCGGGCACACGCTGACACGGATCGTGGAAGGTACCCACCCAAACACGAGGCCAGTGCCGCCTCGTCTGGCGACGGGGCGCGCCGCCCGAGCATGGAAACGGGGCACGTCGCCAGTCCACGTGCCTCAACCCACGTTGGCGCTGACTCGGCACCGGGGCTCACCGCACGGTGCGATCACCGCACCGTTGGGGTGCCCCCGAGCGTTGAAAGATCCCATGGGGCCAGGTCATCACGCAATGCTTCAACGATCGTTTTTCGGCATGGTTCGTGTGGTTCGTGTTTTTGACCATCTTCCGTAGCGACTGGTTGGCTGCCACTCTGTCAGGTCGTTTCAGGGAGCGCCCCAAAAGGATGCCAAAGTCGCCGCATCTTCTCGCGCCAGCGCGTGGCCGTCGATGCACCTCGGCACGCAGCCGCGCCACAGCGACATCCTCGAAGCGGTTCGTTCAAAGGGCATGTTCGCACAAAAATTAGCCTGGCGAGGGACCCAACCACATGCAGCTTCGAGTGCCGTCGTTGTGAACGTCGCCTTCGGTGGAGCTCCCTATGGGGCCACGAAACACGTGATGGGTGTGTCGGAATCGGCGGGTCGGCCGCAGGCGAACATGGCCACTGGGGCCTTGGATAGAGCTCCCTATGGGGGCACGAAACAACTGAGGGGTGTGCCAAAATGGGCGGGGCGGACCAATGCAGGCTGCGCCGCTGGGGCCTTCGGTGGAGATCCCTTAGGAGACCACGAAACGCGTGAAGGGTGCTGCCGACATGAACGGGGCGGACGCGTGCGGGCTGCGCCACGGGGTCCTTCGGTGGGGTTCCTCTGGGGCCACGAAACGCGTGACGGGTGCTGACATAGGTGCGGGCCCGCATGCGGGCGCTGCGAAACGTGTGAGGGGTGTGCCTACATGGGTACGGGACCGCATGCGGGCTTCGCCAATGGGATTACCGGTGGAACTCCCTATGGGGGCACGAAACGTGTGAGGGGTGTGCCGACAAGGGTGCGGGACCGCCTGCGGGCTGCGCCACAGGGACCTCCGGTAAAGCTTTCTATGGGGCCACGAAACGTCATGGGTGGCGGGGGCGCATGCGGGCGGCACCATGTGGGCTTTGGGTGGAGCTCCCTATGGGGCCACGAAATGTGTAACGAGCTGACATGAACATCGGGGACGCATGCGGGCGGCACGAATTGGGCCTTGGGTGGAGCTCCCTCGGGGCCACGGAACTCGTGAGGTGTGTGCCAAAATTACTGGCGGGGACGCATGCGGGAGGCACCATTTGGGCCCTGAGTGGGCTCCTTATGAGACCACGCAACGTGTAAGGGGTGTGCCGACATGGGTGGCGGGGGCGTATGCGGGCGGCACCACTTGGGCCTTGGGAGGAGCTCCCCATGGAGCACGGAACTTGTGAGGCATGTGCCGACATGAGTAGCGGGGACGCATGCGCGCGGCATCATATGGGCCTTGGGTGGAGCTCCCTATGGGGCCACGAAACGTGCGACGGGTGTGCCGACATAGGTGGCAGGGACGTATGCGGGCGGCACCATTAGGGCCTTGGGTGTAGCTCCCAGTGGGGACACGAAACGTGTGCGGGGTGTGCCACCATGGGTGGCGGGGACGCATGCGGGCGGCGCCACTTGGGCCTTGGGTTGAGCTCACTATGGGGCCACGAAAGGTGTGAAAAGTGTGCAGAAATGGGCACCAGGGACGCACGCGGGCGGTAGCAATGGGGCCTTCGGTGGAGCTCCCTTTGGGGCCACGAAACGTGTGAGTGATGGGAGGAGGGAGGAGGGGGAGGAGAAGGAAGGAGGAGGTGAAACGAGGGGCGCTGTCCCTTCAAAACGAATACCCGACACCACAGGATGGACAGGGAAAAACTTAGCCTG